CTAAACCACACTGACCAACTGTCACAACATTCTTTCTGTACAATGACATCAACCAGCAGAGCTAACCCAACAAAATGGATGAAAAATACATTTTTAGTATGAAACAAATTGTCTGCGAAATCAGTTTCAAGTAAACTGCTGAGGATATTCTGTATCATAGCAAGTAACGGAAAAAAACACTGCTGACAAAACGCTCTCAAGCGCCCAAATCACGACGTCTTCAGCAGATTGTCTGGGGGTTTTCAGTTGGCTAAAAACGTTTTGGTGGACACATGGCCTTAGACCGTGTGTCCACCAAAGCCTTTTTCCACGCGCCTGGCGTATGTTTTCAATTGTTTTTTAATGGGAGCGCCGCGTTTTTTAAACGCGATGAGCGTACCGAGGCGCTGAGCGTTTTTTTCACGCTGAGGCGCCGAGCGCCCAGCGTTTTTACTGGTAGCTGGGAGTTGAAAAATGTTCAACTTTGGATAAAACGCAGCGCTCATCACTGTCACATTTTACCCAGCCATCCAATCACAGTGGAGGAGGGGCGGGACTAATACCACACCGACCAACTGTCACAACATTCAACTGCTGCGGATATTCTGTATCATAGCAACGAAACGTCTCAACAGAAAAAACCGCTGCGCTGCCAAAACGCTCTCAAGCGCCCAAAGCACAGCGTCTTCAGCAGAACGTCTAGCGTTTTCAGCTGGTTAAAAACACTTTGGTGGACACACGGCCTTAGAGTAATAATAGGAACCCTTAAAGTACTAGAATGCACTTTTCAGGGGTAAATAAAATACAAAGATGGCCGTTTGAGGGTACTGTCCCAGTGACAAGCAGGTATACTGTCACATTTCTTCTGAATGTAGATACAGTACAGAACTCTTCTGAATTGTGTTGTATCTTTTATTATTTCATAGGCACAGGATCAGATGTGCAGGTTCCAAAAAGACATAAGACCTCCCGTCCATCTCAGGGGACCTTGAGACCATCTGCATTTTGCGCTGAAGACCAAGATTCCACATCAGGAAACAAAAATGCTACCTCAGTCAACGGTCTCTCAAACAACAGTGCTGCTGAGCCACCGAACAATAACCTTCAACCTCATTCCATTGCTGACCGTTTGACAAACAGCACTAGTAAAGATCTTTCTTCCACGAACAGCCCTCAAAAGCACAGAGAGAAGAAAAAGCACTGTGAAATGCAAGAAAAGGGCACGTTACCCTTAGACGGACTCAAGCGCAAACATAAAAAACGCAAGCACTCTGAGGATGTCAGGTTTGAGGGCTGCCGTATTTCTCACCTGGTGAAGAAAAAGAGATACAAGAAAGAGGAAGAGGAGGAAGAGGCAAAAAATGAGAAAAAGAGTGACGATTATGTTCTAGCCAAACTCTTTAAAAAATCAGGGATACACAGTGTCATGAAGCATGACACCATCATGGAGTCATCGAACCCTGACTATGTACTTGTGGAAGCTGAGGCCAATAGAGTTGCGAAGGATGCGTTGAGAGCTCTGAAGGTCTCCAGGCAAAACTGCAGGCTGCCTTTCTCAAGAGGGTCTACGACAGCAACCCCACCTCCAGTCAAGTACGTCTCCTTTAAAGGTTTAGTTCACCCAAAAATGAAAATTCTCATTAATTACTCACCCTCATGTCACTCCAAACCTGTAAGACTTTCATTCATCTTCGGAACACAAATCATTAAATGCCACGACGCAGAACTTGTTGCGTGGACGTGTGTTTGAGATTATATTTTGTAAATAAAATACTTAATTGTGGTGTTGTTTTTTCCGCAAACAAAACTCACGTCACTTCATAAAACTGAGGTTAAACCACTGGAGTCACATGGATTACTTTTATGCTGCTTTTATTAACTTTTAAGATCTTCATTTGTGTTCAGAAAATGAACAAATGTCTTATAGGTTTGGAGCGACATGAGGGTGAGTAATCAATGACATAATTTTCATGTTTGGGTAAAGCAACCCTTTAATTTTATATAACCGAACAATATTATGTGTCTTGTAATATTATAAAATAAAGCTGTTTTAACATAAATTTCTCTCTTAGGAGAAGGTTTGGACAGAAGAAAAACACTCTTCTTTCTCAGTCATCTGGAACAACGGGAAAAGCAGCAGAGAAATGCAAGGTACGTCTACATGGGTACAATATTCTGTGAACCCCCTATAAAATAATAAATTATGTTAAGCTAGTTTTTTTTTTTTTTTTTTTAATATAGGATGCAGCTATTATAAAGAAGTCGGTGGAGAAGAAGCCAGGATCTGCTGCTCACTTCAGCGGTGATGGAGCACAGGAGGAATCTGCTTCTCTCTCCTCGTCCGCTCTTCTCGCTAGAATGAGAGCCAGGAATCACCTCAATCAACCACAAAGACAAGAGGATGAGGAAGAGGAAGAGAGAGAGACTCAGTCTGCCGCCGTGCATGCGACTCCTACAGAACACGATGAGCTTCTGGTTGACCTGAGGAACTTTGTGGCCTTCCAAGCTCAGGTGGATGGCCAGGCGAGCACCAAGGAGATCCTGGAGTACTTCACCCCAAGACTCACTTCCACACAAACACCAGTGTTCAGAGAACTGCTGAGAAATATTTGTGAGTTCCACAGACTTTCTGGGCAGGAAGGGATGTGGAAGCTTAAAGCTGACTTCAGGTAAACGGAGCGGAGATTACGAAATGTGCAAATGCAAGTCGTTTCAGTAAACTTTCCAGGTTGGCCATAAAAAGTACAAAAAGAATTCTATTGGCCCTATTATTGTAAAACACTCTTATTGTATGAACAAAAATTGTCTTTTATTACTGTTTGCTGGTTTTTGTTTGATTTTGTACAATTCCTGGAAATTACTTGAACTTGGAAATTTCCTGAAAACTGTGTGAGTCGGGTAACTATTGATGAGACCATGCGGTATCTGTTTTGCTGTACTATATTACAATACTATTGTAATCTTTTTTTAATAATGGAAAATATACATTTATATAGTGCTTCCACCCTAAAGGTGCATGGTGCCAAATTGTTTACATGACGTTTTAGTGAGTAAATGTGGCTTTGAAAGTTATAGCCAACATTATTTAATGTCTTGAGAGTATCTACCTCTACCTCCCACTTAATGTTTGTTCATTGGGAACAAATTAAGTTTAATGTAATTGCAATGTGTAAAGCCAGTAATGGAGTTTAGGGAATACTGTTATACGTTTGAACAATTAAATGTATTCATTAAAAGTTACCTAATAAACATCATCCTTTACATCAACTCCTTAGTACATTTTATTAATATGATCTAGGAAATGTAATGCATCACTTGATGAGTCGGATGACGCACCACCTCACGAGGGCTTATCTGAGCTCATTTTGAAAAGAACAATGATTTTCTGTTGTTGCACATTAATCACAATGCCATGGGCTCTCGGGGACAGGGTTTTATTTCTTGTAAGTTAATGTGTCAGAAATTAGTGTTCGTCTTATATTGTTTGCCAGCGCGATTTAGTACACAACCAATGAAAAAAAAACCGACCTCTTCAATTGTATAATAATAATAATAATAATAATTAAATTGTGCTTTTGTGTAAATACTTTTCTCTTCAAACTATAGCAAATGAATCATTAAAATAACTAACTGCTTGTTTGAAACAATATAAAAGAAAACAACAGATTGAGTTTACGAATCATCCAACCTCATTAAAACTTTATTTGTTTATGTAGTCGTTAATGAGCTCTGAATAAAAAATATATATATTTTCATGATTTGCAATCACATTTTTTTCTTTTGTCAAATCAACTTAAATAATCAATGTAGTTCAGATAACATAATATCTCCTCCATTGTATTAACTAAATTTTTCCATTTCAATGAACTTAAAATTTTAAGGCAACCAGGTTACTTACGTTTTTTAATTAATCCAACAATATTTTTTACAAGTTACTTCGTTTGTAGTCTATTGACTCAAAGTTGTCTTTTTTAATGGTGGATATTTGTGCGCGAGATGTCATGTCGCTGACCGTGGTCCTGAAAGTTTTTCCTTTTCTTTTCTTGAGGCCTCGTGCGCACACAATTATTCCGTTAATTAAAAATTAAAAACAGCAATTGTTGACTAGCACGTGGTGCATTCTAAAGACAGCGCTTTATGACACTCGTTTCAGCTGGCACATATAATTCTTTAATACACTCACTCTCCTCTCTCCCATTCGTGAAAATCACTTGATCTATTGGTTTGCTCAATCTAAATATATCTCCGTTTCTTATAATAATACAAATGTCAGGAAGTTATACAGAGCTCATCCCCCAGTTTCCGATGCATTTTGACGATAACACCAACTTTATTTTCAGCAGTGCATAAATTAATTACACGCATTTAATAACTAAAATATCATTATATTCCCCTCTTAATATCATAAACGTTCTACGCCAGGGAAGCACTTAATAGTGCAGGGGGCCATAACAGGCTATTATCCTTGTGTAATGCTATTAGAGAACCAATTATGCACCATTACACTTGCTTTTTTGCCGTTTATGTGATTTCATCCAATACCGGCCAGCACTTCAAAATTTCAGCTGCTACTCGGAGCCTCATTTCCAGCAGCAGAGGAGCGGCGGTGTCTGCGCGCGGCGTCCCGCGTGCGTTTTAAAAGTAATTGAAAGGGTCCCGCTGCATATCATTTACGCGAGAGTGGGAAATAAATCCTTGGACCCCTTGCTGTGAACAAAATCAAAATTTGGACCTGCGAGCGCGCAGCCAGTGGATTCTCGTATAAAGTGGACCCCTAACCCATATAATGAGCAATTACTGGTCTGACATCCAATTTTAAATCCAAAAACAGTCATCTAGATTTTTAATATAAAAAGCAACTGTGTAAAAAAAAAGTGCATCGTGCTTTGTGCCAGTGTGTTCGTGATTTGGGAATATGCATGCATGCATCGAGCTAAAGTTACACCTTTGGAGTATAGTCTGATGCCTTTGGGGGGGTTTGACGTTTACCACCGCGTGCGCAATCCGTTTGGGCGCGGAGAACCTATCCAAATGTCCTGAAAACGAAAATGTGATTAATTGCAATTACGCGTGAGATTATAAAGGCGAGTGTTGTCATGCTCTAAACAGTCTCTAAGACATCTGGTCACTCCCTCCTTGTGTGCGCGAGAGCGGATACACTGGAGCGCTCAGTGATTGACTGTGGGAGTGCGATTGCTCTACTGAGGTTGAGACACGAGAATCGCGATTGCATCAAGACCAGCTATTGGTAGAGATGCTTTTTTAAACTTTATACACTTCAAATCGGTTGAAGAGAAGTATTAGTGTTGTTTAATGTTATTTTTTAAGACGCGGTAAGAGTGTTGACGTTTGACTATTTTTTTTCTATGCAGAGAGAAATATTCTCTCCACTCGCAAAACACCGGGAAACATGTTTTACTTTCACTGTCCTCCACAGTTAGAAGGAGAGTGCTGCAGGACCAATACATGTAAGTAGGCAGTGCTTAATTTATTCTGTAAGAATTGAGTTTTATGTACAATTTTAACTTTGTAATATTAAATATACAGGCCTGTATTAAAAACATAAATATTGAAACGCTTCTTTTTTTCGCCGTCTATTCTTTAGTAGGCTATGCATTAAATTACCCGATCAAATATAGTTAATAATCACCCTGTTTGTGTTTTGTTTGATGGTGTTTAATGTTGTGACCGAGAGCTTGACAGCCGCCCAGCTGAGACTTTTTGAGAACAGATGTTAGATGTCATGCTTTTCAACTGGCGTTTTGTTGGTCATGGTTTAATTGTGTAAAGTGAGACCATTCAGTTCTCTAGCAGATTATAATGAATTAACGGTTCCCTGTGAATAAGGCAACTGGGGGAAATCCTATTTTCATTATTATTTAGTGCTTTAAGAAAATGCATTTTTATATCCCAGAAATATAATTTTTAATAGTGTCGCGTTACTCTTTTAAACAGTGAACACAAGTGGGTTTGGGAATCACGCCTCTGGAGATTTTGATGACGGGTTTCTGCGCAGAAAACAACGCAGAAACAGGACAACCTTCACTTTACAACAGGTTAGTGATGACAAAATAGCTACCCCAGTGCAAAACAGACTGTCCTGATACTTATTTGCATTGTAATTTTGTTTTATAGTCCTGTTTTTACGAGGCATTCCGCGTGTAAAGTAAATGCACGTGAACATAGGGCTACATTAATATGACACCTTCATAATCTTTTGGAAGTAAACTTATAAGCAAACAATAAGAGCTTTTCCTTATTTATGCTTATCAATGTTGAATGACAATTGAAAAATGTAGGCTAAAAGACGTAAGAAAAGGCCGATGAAGAGCAGCCTGGCCTACAGCTAATGTAAAAAATGTTTTCATTAGAGCAGCACCTTTTTTATCCATTTAAATTGTCGCAATTATTCCTTCATTTTAATCAGTAAATACAACGTTTTAACCACTTTGCCAACACTTTAATTTAACTTTAAAAAAAATAAGGCAACAGTTTTGGTGCGTGTTTTACCCATGAAAAAGCATTCTCAGCGAACGCAAAGAAAATCAGATATTTCTTTCTGAATTATAAAGCATGCATTTAAGCAATAATGCCAACTAAAATGTTTCACACACAGCTGGAGGCTTTGGAGGCTGTTTTTGCACAGACCCACTATCCAGACGTGTTTACTCGAGAAGAGCTGGCGATGAAAATCAACTTAACAGAGGCTCGTGTTCAGGTGAGACACTTTTCACAATTGACCCGATCCAGAGATACACGAGAAATAGCCTACATCACGTGGAAGCGCTCAGACTCAGAGCACCTTTGGCCGAAGAAAGTAAATGAAGCCACTCTGTCATTTCTGTGATGCGCTTTAATAACATCAACATAATGTGGAATATTAGATTAGGTTGATTAATCGGTCATTCATAATTAACTAGTGGTAATGTTCTACACTAATTTGCCCTCGTCTCTAAGGTCTAAAATTGCTAAGATGCACTGCCATTTCCGCGTTTCAGCAAATGGAGAGAGGGTGCAGTGCTTTTTGAAGAAGACAAACGTCCAGAGAAGGACGATTCTTCTAAAGCGCTCGCGCACCTGAAACCGTCGATTTCATATTCTGAGGGCCTGGCAAAAACATCCGCCGTAATATCAAGTTGGCCAAGTGTAATTGCATTCAATGTGTCTGTATGTAATTTCCTGCATTCCAGATTTGCTTTTGGGTTTTCCTTCTGAGCTCAGATCTAATTGTAGGAAATATAATAGTTTCCCTTTTGTTCCCCAGGGTCATCTTACTATCGCTTAAAACCAATGACTGCGACACGATAATGGAATTCGCAGCTGTAAATTAGGGATTGTAAACAAATTATTTCTCTCTAATCGGATTACCCGATTCCTATTATTAAATCTGAACATGAATCGGTCGCAGCATGCAGGGATATTAAACTTACATTATTATTAGGAAATAAATGTTCTGTTTTGTTGTATAGCCATAGTGGGCGCCCACCGTTTTTAAAGTGTCAATTGGCTTGTGCTGCATTAAGAACAAACTGCAAATTGAGATTAATGGTGCAATTATCGAGCATTCAGTGCTGGGGGGATCATGACTTCTAGCTGGAAGGTGCAAGGGTGAGATAATGTTGCCACAATTACATTGTGAATATTGTTGTCCTGCCAGTAAACTGTTGTGTCATATTATGTGGAGAGAGCGGCTATATGTGTGTGGCGTTTTGTTTGTTCACATCATTGTACCTTTGCACAATGCTGGCCAGGCGGTGGAGATATGGCTGCATTATGCAACCTTTCCCATTCAAATATGATTAATGCGTTAGAGAGCACAGACTTAATCGAATCTGATGTTGTCAAACAATCACTAAATAGAGAAATAAACGACTTCATCATGGTTCTCTCTCAGAAGCAGGGAGACTGTCAGTAGGAAGTCATTAAAAAATGATAATGAAAAATTGCTCAATTAAATGTTGTTATAGGCAATGACCTTCATTCAATTAACATACAAGAACTTCACTGCATATGCTCAGCAGTTGTGTTTGTGAAGTTTGACATAAGTCACTGGCTTGTTAGATCCTGCAGCACATTTCAGAAATGAGCATTTTATGCAAATAATAATATTTTTTTAAAATGTATGCAGCTAACAATTAATATGAATCATTAAAGGGATAGCATACCAAAAAAAGGAACATTTTGGCATTATTTATTCACCCTCATGCTGCACTTTTTTTCTTCTTTTTGAACACAAAAGGATATCTTTCCACAGAAGAAATATGTAGGTTTGAAATAACATGGAAGTGAGTAAAATGAGAACAGAGTTATATTTATTTTTTAATCAAGCTAAAAGAGAGGAAAATTTGAATCATCGTTTTTTCTCTCTCTCTTTTTCTTTAGGTGTGGTTTCAAAACCGGAGGGCAAAGTGGAGAAAAACGGAGAGAGGAACTTCGGACCAGGAGGGAGGCAAAGAGCAAATGAGTGAAGGTGCACCTCCTGCAAGAAACCTCAACCAGTCTCCTGTTGACCATGGCCGAAATAAGAAAGAACCAATGGAACTACAGCAAAAGTGTGTAGATCGTCCAATCAAATGCGACGTTTACAAATGATATTTGTTTGCTTTTCAAAAGAGATGTAATGCCAAATTCTTTCCTTTATGCCCAGTATCAATAGAGTCGTGGGTTCAGGCGGACCTTTTTTCCCATCTTGTCTGCCAGGGACTCTGCTGAACACAGCCACTTATGCACAAGCCCTGTCACAAGTGGCAACTTTAAAAGGTGAGATCCAGGATCTACTAGATGTCATCATGTCATGAAAACATGCACAAATGTATAAGATAGTTTTTATTTGTATTACTTTTTTTTCTGAAACTCATGTGGGTGAAAATGCAACATATTTACTGTGTGTTGTTGACTAGATAGATAGATAGATTAGATTGTCACATTAAATTGTTTTGTTACATATGCAGTGTGAAATAAAACATATTTAGAATGATAAAGGACATTGACTGCCCCATTATGACACATTATTCCGGTCAACCTCATTAGGAAGTCCATTGTGTTCCTGCTGTGTGCCTGACCCAATGGGCCTCTCCTTCCTGCCACCATATGGGTGCCAGAGTAATCGGACAGCCAGTGTCGCGGCCCTGCGGATGAAGGCCAGGGAACACTCAGAGGCCGTTCTTCAGTCAGCTAACCTGCTGGGCGCTGGGTCTACAACAGGCCCAGGAGTCGGTCTGGGACAAAGCACTGTTTCTGCAGGAGGAAGCGATTCCAGTCCTGCCTCCGGCACCTCAAAGGTCACATCGTTACGAAGAACTCCAGACAAGCATCTGCACTGCCAAAAGGAGGGTCCGGATAAGAAATGAGGGAATCTTGGTTGTTGTTGTTTAATTTTTCCTTATTGGAGGACACACTTTGGATGAAGGATTTATAATCAGACATTGAATGCCTGCTGCCTCTTTTTTGAGAGCACTGACATACCCTGGACAGGACGGTGTTAAGTGCAATCCCTTATTGTGCATTTTGTGTTTGTATGTGTCAAACTAATAATTCAATTGTAATTTTTTCCTCTTCTCGTTCACTTTTACTCACGATTCTTGACGTTGTTTTGCCCTGTTCGGGTCTGTGTGGGCGCCTGCCGCTGCAATTCGGTTTCAGTGGTGGAATGACTTCGTTTTGAACATGCTGCGTGGCATATGAAAACTCCCTGGTTGCTAATGTGAACATTTCATGATTTTTCACAACCCACTTTGATGTTTGACTTGTGTACTGTGAAGTCAGGTGATGATAGACAGTCTGCATTGTGTCAAGATATATGCCATGCTGAAACTATAAATGTACTAATGTGAAATAATATATGTAAGATTATATCAAGGACAGAACTGTATATTAAGTGGTTTGTCATGTTTTATGATATGATCAGGGTAACTCTTACTCATGCTGATGCGATGACAACTGACACCTCTCTTGTCATCACATCTGTACCTCCATGATAGACTGCAAGAGTCCACACACTGGTCCTGTTTTGACATGTTCTGCAAAACAATTAAAACATGTAGGCAATCATGTACATCTCCTGTTGCCTATTGCTCACACCATCTGGCTATGATCAATTATTAATTAGTTCTCAAGCGGTAGGGCTGCAAAAATGGAAGCAGCGGTTGGTCTTATTATTTATTTACTTCAAAGTACATTGTGACTTTCTCATATCACATAGCTATTTTACATGCTTCCCATGATGACAAAGATGTGATGGGTGCTAATTATTACATTATGCATTGAATAAATAACAAGGCCCTGTTGTCACATGGTTTAGTCATGCCGCTTAAATTCTTTTAATTTTCTTTAATAGCAAAAAGACAAATAAACAATGCTATTTTAGAACATCAGTGCAATTATATGAACCATCAAATTGGTATTAAAAGGAAATGCAAGTACTTGTTTTCAAAGAAACATAGCTGTGATATTGAAAAAAAAAAGAGCTACTTAGATTAAGGACACTTGACAGTGCTACCTTTGAAAAGGGGCTGGAGTTGGACTGATTAAATTCTTGTCCTTGAGGATTTTCAGGAAATTACTTTGATAGTCAATAACACAATTGAGTAAACTGCAAGCACATTAGCATTAATAATTGATGTTGAATTATGTATTATCACAAAGTAGTGATTTAATTATTCATGATGTGACACCCTGGTGACAAAGCAGAGCCAGTTAATGTCAAAAGTCCTGCCTGATGAAACAGTGCAGAATGGTATTTGCGTTTTTATGGTGACACAATAATACACTTTGCTCGAAATGTGTGACAATATGACAATAACTGAAAATGAGAATATTTTAATGTGTACAAATAAGGCTAAGTATGAACAGGCAATATTATTAATTAGCTAGTGACGGCATCTTTCCATATAATAAGTAGAATTCCTATTAAACATGACATTAAGTGACACAATAAACAGATTTACTGAATCTACAACAAAATATAGGCTACTGAAAATAATACGTTCTCCATACTTAGATTGAATTAAAATTGGATTAACTATAGCAAATACTAAATAAATATGACATCTCATAATAAGTCTAAATTTAAATATTAGATCAGAAGGCGCTCTAAAAATTTCGTTAGGCCTACGCAAAGTAGCGAAAAAGCAGCTAAGATCACGTGACACCAGTAAAGTCTTACGTTATGACCATTTCTTGAAATCAAAACGAAGCTTACGGACCACATTTCATTGTTTTTTTTTGTTTGTTTTTTTTTTTATTTTATTGATCTTAGCTCAAACAAAAAGATTACCTGGTCCAGCTCACAACACATCAGGCCTAAGCAAGAGGTCTCAAACAGGTAAAGACAATGTGCTGCTGAATTCTGTCTTCACAGCACCCTCTAGATCGATATTTTTGTCTAAATTTATCCCATCATCTGCATGGACGGGAGGGCTGATGGCTGACTGACGGACACGTTTTCACCAATCTGCTTATAAGATAAGTATTAATGTCTACTTTTTTTACTTATTCTTTAACGTAGAGATTTAAATATAAATATTTACCTAAAATATTAAGTCTAATGTATTTAAGATGTAGTAATGTGCTTAAATGCCTGCATATTAATCTAAATGTTTTAAAATGCCGTTTTTTTCTTAGCGGTGTTGATATAGTTCCTATTGTATTCTATGTTGAAGGGCTTGTCCTTATTTTTAATAAACACTATTTATTTACATGTCCGGGGCTGGGCAAGTGGGCATGCTGCTCATTCTAGACAGCTTTTGATTGGACGTTCAGGATGAGTCATTAATATTTTTACTCTTTTTTTATTTTTATATAAATTTAAATAGAAATGTATATAAATACGTTTTATATTTTCCCGTAACAGAAAAACTGTGAATTTAAAATGACGCAAATCTTTAACTCGTAGTATGCGTTTTTTATTGGTCAATTGAGTAATGAACCATTTATATTATTTGGCCATTTGTGGATGTGGAAGAAGTTGAGGAGTGTGTTCATCTAATCCTGTGGATTGAAGTGCAAATTATGTTGTATTAAATATATTAATTGATGAAATATGGTGTATTTATTTTTTTACTAGTTAAGTAGTCCATGGGGAATTTTGAAATTGGGTTTAATGATATCCATCATGAACAACCTTGCAATGATTAAAATGTGAACTTGTGAATGCTAGGCAAGATGTGGTTATAGCGATCACAGTTTTCTTGATTCTAAACCTAAAATAGTTTGCTGCTCATACATGACCTGTAATCCTCTGTATGCTTCTCTCAGCCAATAGAAATTATATAATTGCACATTGCAACGGCTGATAAAGATGTCTCAACTTTGAGAAAACCCAACTCAGGGGGAAAATCAATTTAGACACAGTTGCTGTTGTTAATCTTTTTTTTTCTTTTCCAAAATGAATTCTCGCACAGCAAGCAACCCGAAAAACAAATAGCCTGTGATGGTTTTAAGTAATTTAGAGTTATTGTAGTAGTATTTTTAGAAGATTGTTCGTAACATTCATTGCACGTGGATTATTGATTATTCAGTGCAGTAATTCATTCTATTATGAGAAGCATTGTTACATCAAATTAACTGGAGAGAGGCCAAGCAAGCCTTAAAAACCCTAAACTAAACTAAATAATAACACAAATCATTTGTTTCAAATTCCGTTTGAATGAAGTTAATGAGTTCTTTTGTTGCATTAATGATACATTGTCAGTGAAGTCATTTCCAAACTCCAGTGCTCCAGTTGTTTGAGAAATGGGCTTCCTGCATAGGTCAAGATACGGTCAACATCTGTGCAGTTATCACAGCTGCCCGCACTTAAGTAAAAAAGAGATCAATAAGTCTGAGAAAGTTAAGACAGAAATATTGTTAATGGATCTGATGACGCTCAAATATTTTCTTACTTGGTGCTGAATATTTCTTATGCCCACTGGAATTAGTAGTTTCACAGAACGTAAAAGATAAATAATAATAAATAAATAATTATCAGACATATGTTTAGAGATATGTTGGTATATATAACTGACTGATTTACAAGGGAATATACCGGTAGTTTGTACATACAAAGTGCCATGCACCCTATGTCCACTAGAGTGGTCTATTGTGCAGATACTGAAATCACTCAAACCCACAAATATATCAGTCTAGAGCCATGAAGCTCGTTCTCATCAAGTTTGTTACATCACTCAGATAATACCTTCATTTTTTAACGCATTATCTTTTTAATGGGTTCTAGGTGAGGACACAGCAGCCAGGCACAACATTTTGATTTCAAATCTTTCTTTAATGATGATGAAATGAGCTCCTGAAAGACTGTAAAAGTAGTAGGCATTGCAAGTAGTTGTTTATAAGGCAATCATTTCATAGTCATACATCATCAACCATGGCAAGGTAAAGAAGACAGACCACTAATATGCAACCTGCCAAAGCACATCAAGGGAAAAGTTGGCACTTTTTGGCACAAGTAGGCTATTTCGTTTTATCTCTACAAAACTTCATAGTGTACAATTTTCATGCATATTGTGGGTCGACTGGAAAATCTGATTAAATAAACGTAGCTTTAAGTTTATTTTGATAAAATGCTCAGTGAAGGTTCTGGCTGGGTCTGAGGATGATAGCATTTAGCACTAAAGGGTTATAGTCACTTCAGAAATGTACTTCCCTTGAATGTACTGGTCTTTGTTGTATTATAAAAAAGTACACTGCAAAATAATTTTTAGCTTAACATAACTCATTGGAATGCTTCACAGTTCTTCCCTTGACTTTTTCTGACAATAAAGAGTCCCTGCCCGGGCTCTTTGCGCTTACCTTAGCTACAAAACACAGTTTAACAGCAATCCTTAAATACAAATCAAAAACAGTTTTAAGAACTTTTTTAACTTATTTAAAAGTCACAGTTAAATAGCTTAGATATACAGTCATGTAACTAGATTTGTGTACAAACAAACAGTATTTACCTAATATCTAAACAACTTTACTCGTCACGTGCTCTCCATTGCAAAGTCCTCTAATTCACTGATAGTTATAATATCCGTGTGTCTTTCATTGGTGTTAATGCTGTTTTCCACATTCTGCGGATAAACATTCTGTCTCCACAGTTCGCTACCTGTCTCAAGCATATCTTGTTCGTCTGTTAACCCAGCCGGTGTTGACATTTCGGACGATGACCTCAAGGGTGGTAATGAAGACGCAGCCATTGGCAGAAATCCACGATACAGCATGTAGGGAGCGTTTAACATCTCTACTGGTGCTGACTGCGTTAGAGCACCTTGAGACCTCTGACGGACATTCAACTGTACGTATTTACCAGTTTCTGGGTCATAAAATGTCTTTGTCTTAACCGGTAATGGTACGTCCACCATAAAGTACTGCCCTGAGTTTGGGTCTTGCAAAAGCTTTCTTTGAGTCATGGGGAAAGGTTGGGCTACTACACTGTGTGTTGGGTGGGTGTAATTTGGCTGGATGTCATACTGTGAAAGAGGAGGTGAGGCTTGTACCGCTGGATGTGTTGACAGTGTGTCCGAAGGTGAAGAGGGCATTTCGGCGACATCTCTGATTGATTTGGACTCTAGCTGTTCTTGGTTTTCAGGCGGCATCTTGGGGGTATCTGCCTTTTTCATACGCCTCGTTGCGAGTCTTTGTGCTCGTCGAAGAGCTTTTTCAGATTTGGGGGGCACCGTTGGAGGTTTACCCAGTGGCCTCATATCGCTACAGGCTGATTCGGGCCTTTCATAGCAGGCCGACTCTGGTCGTTCATAGCAGGCAGATGCAGGCCTTTGGTAGTTGTCTCTGTAGGTTTCTTTCCTAGGCATGAAGGCCAAACTTATGTCAGACAATTCTGTGAGGCTTGCTGTACAGTTGTCCATATCCTCTGACATTGTGCTGATGACAGAATGAGTTTCTTCTTCATCAAAAAGTTGGCTTCGTCTCTGATGGCTCTTTGATTGTTTTGTTGTGTATTCTGCTGAGGAGAAATTGTTGTGCGTTGTCTCTTTTACTTTGTGGGGCCGATGGACAGCAATAGCTGGTTCATGTAAGACTGGAGGGTTAGCGGACTGTTTTGGGAGAATTTCATCTTCTTTCTCTGAACCGCTCAAGTGTTCCTTTGGTGAGCCAACCCTGAAGTCATCAGAGAATGACCTGTGAAAGAGGGGTTTGACGGTTTTGGTCACAGAAGACGTTCTCATGGTATTATCCTTCACTCTGAACATGTTGGGTTTCCCCATCGCTGGAGAAGAAGAGTTGGATCGCGGTCCTGTCGTATGAACTTTACCATAGTCTGTTGGACTTTGCAAAAACAGTCTATCTTCCTTTTTCTCTTCCTCTGAGTCTTTGTTTTGAGACATTTTGAAACTTGGAGGAGGTGGTTCAATTGTTTCCTTTGGCTTTAGTTCAGTGTCAAGAGCATTTACTGTGTAATATTGTAGTTCTTCCATTTCCTCTCCAGGTGTTGATGTCATATTTATTTGGTTGTGTGCCAGTTTTACAGTGCTAGACGAAGGCAAGTTTGCAAGGGATTCTTGCCTTCCAGAATGAGAAATATTGCCCTTTTCAGTTGTTTTGTCATGAGTAAGTCTTACTCTGCTTATTGTACCTTCGGCTTGCAATGGTACAGTATTTGTACCTTTGGGATTTTTGGGTTGATACAATTTAGGTATTTCTCCTCTATTTGGATGCTCCAGGAAAGCTGGTTTAGTGTTTGATTCCTTGTGGTTTGGTAAAGCCCTCAGTTGGGTGCCCATTGATGTGGCTCCACCTTGTGAACCTGAAGCTACCAATGATATAGGTTTTGCTTGAGCTGTACTCATGCTGGGATTCAATTGATTGTGATTTTGTGAAAAGGTCTCTTTTACTGTTTGTTTATTCAATTGCGATTTCTCCTCTGAAATTATCTCTCTTTTAGTCTCTCCCCCTGTATCTGGCACATTTACTTGTGAATCTTTATGAATTATTAAAACCGACTGATCATAGAAGTCTAGTTTGGGGAATATATCATTCTCTTTTGTATCGTCTTCAGCAGCGATAACTTTCAATCTAGCATAGTCTGCGATAGCGGATATTTCAGGTCTAGTCCCCTTGTTGTTCCTTTGTGTAGCCTCTGATTTGGATACTATACCTTCTTTATTTGTGTTCTGTTGATTTAACTGAGAATTATCTTGAGAATTACTATAACTTGCGCTTCCTTTTGTTTCGGGGACAAAACTTCTCCCTGGCTGAGATTGGTTTGTATTAGTCCATTCAGCCTGTTTTGTCTCCGTAGCTTCAACGTTTCTTTCTTTCTTCCCTCTGAAACTGTTTCTGTTTTCATTAACTTTCAAATCACCATTATTTTGTTCAACCAGACTCAATACAGGGTCTTCTTTCTTTCTTTTGTCACTGTTCAGTGTAGGTTGTTTATTATCATATATATTTATCTCTTGTTTCCAAACTGGTCCTTGACTGGCCTTTTCTGATTCACTTGGACCATTTTTCTTAGGTGGTGTGATTTCTTTTCCAACACCACATGTGAGTTTTGGTGTCGTTTCACTGGTACCTTTCAATTTATCCACAGTTTTGGGTTCATTTTGGGCTGTAGGGGTCTTCAATGGTAACGTCTTTTGCCCTGTAAAGTCTTTTTCACTCACACGGTCAGTCACGACAGCTGCTTTCTTTCCATTCAGATGTTCCCTCTTTATCACTTCATGTTGGTTTTTGTGGCTTGCCATGAATTCTTTATTTGATGATACTTCCTCTGTAGACACGTTTATGTCCTCTAAGTTATTTTTTGGGACTTCAAAAGAGGCCTGGTCTTGTTTTACAACAATACACACATCCTCACCAATACTGCTGACTTTATCCTTATAATTACTAACATCTGTGGCAGCGCCATCTTTTAAAACCATCTTCTTCCTGTTTGTAACTTCATTACTCGTTTTAAATTCAACTTGTAACTTTTCTTGTGCCTTCTTTTCCCTCAAATCCCCCTTTCCATTATTTTGCAGAGTTGGGGCATCTTTGTTTGAAACAGACCCTTGTTTCATAACTATTATAGAATCCTCTTGTTTTGTCTCATGTGTAGTTTTCTGAACGTTTAAGTTAAGTGTTTCTCTTCCATTTAATGTATTCTTTTGCGGCATAAATGTATCAGTATGATTAAACATTTTGTCTTCACCTTCCACCATTTGAGGCTTCTTTTTAGGTTTTATCCATCCAGGAAATGTAATTTCTGTGAGTTGGTTGTTTGCCATGGATTCGTTAGAAATGGGTGCCTTAACAACTTCAGTATCTGTTGCTCTTCTTGATTCACTCATTATTGCAGGTTGTTTAGCAGTCAGGAATGCATTCTCAGGTTTCTTTGGGGACTTTCTAGAATTAGATGCATCATCAATAGTGTTTCCTTTCATCCTCAGACTTTGCGTTTTCTCAGTGTTTCCCATTTGCTCTTCAACTTTCTTTTCCTTTGACTGAATATAATTTCTCCTACTTTGCATTGATGGGTCAATATTATGAGTATCTTGATCTTGTTGTTCAACATTTTCTAAGTCTTTTGCCATTAGGGCGGCATCTCTTGTAGAATGAACAAGTTTTGGTATATCGTTTCCTGTAATCTGTTGCTTTTCAGCCATGTTGTTGGAACAAGTTATTGAAGGGATATCCTGTTGTGCTTGTTTGATTTCGCTCTCATTCTCTTTTAAAGGTTGACTTGTAATGGATTCCTGTGGAATGGGTGCATGTCTTGTGTCATCTAGATGTGTTTGTGTGTCATCTAAGCTTTTCTCTTTGGATGCCAGAGGTTTGTTGATTCCATGTTTTATTGTTTTCTGTGAATGGTGAGTTCCAGTCTCCTCCTTTTCTTTTCTCTCTCTCTCATCCTGCATATGTTTTGATGGGAGATGAACCGGATCTCTTACTGAAAGCCCATATTTAACTAAGAGATCCTCATATGATGTACTGATTCTTCCCATGACACTTGACTTATCCGTGGTTGCAGGCGGTTCACATTTTCCAATCTTGTCTTCTTTTTCTTCAATGTTTGAAGACACTTTAGTCTGTGTCTGAACGTCATCATGCAGATTTTCTGCTTTGTCATTTTTAATATGAAAGCTTTTATCCTTCACACATCTCTTAGTTTCATCAGAACTCACTTCATCTAGTTTTCTTGTGTTTTGTTGATTATCAATATGAGAGTTACTTGACACACAAATACTGTAGATCATAGGTTCATCATCTGAAGGTGCTTCTGTTTTTCTTGACACGCAGATACTGTAAATCATGGGTTCCTCTGCAGGCTCATTTTTGCTAGGTGTAAGAATGGTGATGTTTGATATATCTGCTGAATATTTTTCAATCTGTGTTGAAACAGGCTGTCCATTGTTCTTTTGATTTGCACCCTCATCTACTAATAATTTATGCTGGGAGAAAACATTTGGTTGTAGTTTGTCTTCTGCTGCTTTTTGGGGTTCGGAATTGCCCGGATTAACTTCTTGAGACTCTTTTGTGGACTTGAAAAACTCTTTGTTTTTCTCAAGAGATATATCTAATGGTCTTGGAAATCCTTGTTCTTTTTGTTTTGGACTTGCACTTTCTGTTTTTTTCTCTCTGGGTTGACTGTTCTTTACTGCTTCTGAATCGTTTCTTATTCTTGTCATACTCTGATGGCTCCTGGGGAGTTCATTATTGTCAAATGAGAGCAGAGTCTTTGTATTTTTATCATCTTGATGAAATTCTTCTTGCTGACAGCTTTCTTTTGCTTTATCTGATGCTATTTGTGTTAGTGATTGTTTATTTGTTCCTGGTTTTGACTGACTCTCCATCATTTGGTTTGCAGAGGTAGTTTCCACAGCTTTTACTTGTGAAATATTATTTTGTTGCTTAGCCAAGTCATTTTCCTTTGTTGTAATGTTTTTTTCATTATTAAAAGGTTTCAGTGTTTCTGGCTCCCAGGTTCTTTGTGGGGCTGGATTATTTGCTGGTACAGAGTTGATTCTGACCATATTTTCTGTTGATGATGCCTCTGAATCTGAACTGTCCCCAGAATTATGTTTGTAGGTTCTATTTAAAAGCTTCTCTGCATCTGCAATCAATGTATTTGTTTGAAGGTTTGAGGTGAGCTCTGATTTGGCAGGTTCCATTAGTCGTTTAGAAGGTGGAATTCCATTTTTAAACTTCATGTCACTTGATGAGGATGTCAGTTGACTAGCTGTAATCACGGAGCTATTTTTAATTGGTTCATCTTTAGACTGCTCCACAGTAATCTTACTTTTATGATGTACATTAGGTTCCTCTGTGTTTCTGTCCAATCCCAAGAGAGAATTTTTCTTCAAACTGCTGTTCGATTTTGTTGTCTCCGTGCTTGTAACTTGTAAGTCTTTTTTGGTTTGATCAGCAGGTTTAGTCATAGCTTTTTCAGAACCTGAAGTATGCTGACGTCCATACAGATTTTCTTTCTGATCATGCTGAATTGTTTGTTTTTCATTAAGGATTGCTGGTGGATTATGGGAAATGGAGTTTTCTTTCTTGATTGCTGCTGTCAAATGACCGGACATCAACTCACTTGGTGACATTTCATGTCTCTGCTTTTCAGATACCTTGTTAGTGTTTACATCCTTTGGTGAGATTCGGGATGGCTGGTAGTTTTTCTGGACATCATTTTTTAGATTTGCCGCTCTTTCTGCAGTAAACATTTCTTTCTTCATCTCTTTATCATCTGCTGGATGTTTGTAATTTTGCCTTTCTATTGCCAAATGTTTATGTTTTATGTTCTCGCCCTTCTGTTCCAATACTGCTTTCTGATTATCTTCAAAATGAAGAGGTTGTTTTTCCATTGATGGTGGAGATCCATTCTTGGGATGATCATTGTATGTTTTAATGTGTTCATTGTTCTGGGTAACACTGGAATAGGTGATATCTGGCACGTCTTTTTTGGTTTGATCAGCAGGTTTATTCATAGCTTTTTCAGAACAAGTATACTGAAGTCCATACATATTTTCTTTCTGATCATGCTGAATTGTTTGTTTTTCATTAAGGATTGCTGGTGGATTATGGGGAGTGGAGTTTTCTTTCTTGACTGCTGCTGTCAAATGACCGGACATCAACTTAGTTGGTGACATTTCATGTCTCTGCTTTTCAGATTCCTTGTTAGTGTTTACATCCTTTGGTGAGATTTGCGATAACTGGTAGTTTTTCTGGACTTCATTTTTTATATTTTCTGCTCTTTCTGGAGTAAACGTTTCTTTCTTCATCTCTTTATCATCTGCTGGATGTTTGTCATTCTGCCTTTCTAAAGCCAAATGTCTCAGTTTTACGTTCTCGCTCTTCTTTTCCAATACTGCTTTCTGACTATCTTCAAAATGATAAGATGGATGTTTTTCCATCGATGGCGGAGATACATTCTTGGGATGATCGTTGTGTGTTTTAATTTGTTCTTTTTTCTGGGTAACACTGGAATAAGTGATATCTGGTAAGTCTTTTTTGGTTTGATCAGCAGGTTTAGTCATAGCTTTTTCAGAACAAGTATCCTGACGTCCATACAGATTTTCTTTCTGATCATGCTGAATTGTTTGTTTTTCATTAAGGATTAATGGTGGATTATGGGGAGTGGACTTTTCTTTCTTGACTGCTGCTGTCAAATGACTGGACATCAACTCACTTGGTGACATTTCATGTCTCTGCTTTTCAGATTCCTTGTTGATTGGGGATGGCTGGTAGTTTTTCTGGACATCATTTTTTATATCTGCCACTCTGTCTGGAGTAAACATTTCTTCCTTCATCTCTTTATCATCTGCTGGATGTTTGTCATTCTGCCTTTCTATAGCCAAATGTTTATGTTTTACGTTCTCGCCCTTCTTTTCCAATACTGCTTTCTGATTATCTTCAAAATGATAAGATGTTTGTTTTTCCAATGATGGCGGAGATCCATTCTTGGGATGATCATTGTGTGTTTTAAATTGTTCTTTGTTCTGGGTAACACTGGAATAAGTGATATCTTGAAACAAGTGATTCAGCTTGTCTGCTGTGATTTCCTTCTTAACAGAGTGACCTTCTTGACCATCGCTATTGATATTCATGCTTGTTTTTGTTGTATTTCTTGCAAGAATGCCTTGTTTGGCAAGTCCCTTTTCTTTAATGGCAGATATTTCCTTTTGAGCATGTGCTTTCAATTTCGACGTCAGTATTTCTTGTTTGCTTTGGCCTCTTTCCTTGTAAGAAAACACTTTTGTTGTGACCTTGTCAGGATCTTTAATCATTATTCTGTCTTTTCTGTCATTGTTAATATTTGTTTCATTTGTATTGTGGAAATCCTTTCTTATATAGCCAGGTGATGGACTTGTGACATCCTGCACTTTGTAGCCTTGTTGTTCTTGCTCTTTTACAGGCTCTGAAATGGTTAGTTTATCAGCTGTGTCATATTTAATTTGATTTTGTGAGTGTTCTGATTTAGCCAAAACAAATGTATTATCCTTTACTCTCCTTGCTTGCTCATTATCTCTAATGGCAAGAATATCATTGATGCTGAACCTGTTTTCTTGTTTAGTTGTATTATTTTTATCTGAGGTGTCAATTGGTACGACTGTAGGATTCCATGCACCGTTGTTGTTGTTGGAAAACTCATTATGGTTTATGTGTTGGGTACTTGATGATGTATTGGACATTTTATAACTCCGTGCAACAGTTTGTTCCATCATCTCTGGTTGTTTTAGTGTCCATGCTACACTTTCCTTAGTGTGCCTATCTTCACTTGTCGATGCAATGTGCCACTGTTTGTTAGGCTCATACTTATATGGCTGATGTGAGTACAATCCTTCATTCTTTTGACCTTTATGGTCTTGTAAAGGTGCACTCTGATCAAATGTATTTTGCGTTGCCATGCTGTTAGAAGATGCCATTGGCTCAAGATCATTGTTGACATTGAAGCTTTGTAAACCACAATAGACTTCCTTTAGAGGGGATGTTTTATTCTGGAGAATGTTTCTTGATATTCCATATGATTCAGTAGGCTTTGGAAATGTGTTTAATTGTTTGTCATGTACAGATTTATCACTGTAAGGTGTTTTCCTGGGTGATATTGTCTCTTCCTCCTTTGCAAGTCGACCGAGTTTTATGTCTTCATTGACTTTTTGCATATACGTTTCCTTTCGGACAGAATAACTGTCATTGGCAGAGTATTGCTTGGCGGTTGCCTTCCTCTGTTTGTCCATCTCAATCAGAGCTGCTATTTCTCCTCCGAATGGCCGTGATTCCGATCTTCCATTTGTTTCCTTGACAGAACCAATGTGGTCCCAAGAACATCTTTCTTTAATGGCCTCATTTTGGCTATATTCAATACATGGTTTTCTTCCAAAGTCCTTTCTTTGTTTTAGATCATTTTCACTCATGTTATCACTCTGACCGTATCTCTCTGATGTCTGAACAGGCAGAGAATGTGTCGGTGGGTAAGCCTTTGGAAGCATATTTGCTATTTCTGGCCTAGCAGGACTAAAAGTACCGTTGAGATCTTTTAATTGACCTTCTGAAGTCAGAGAGCTTTTACTTTGTGCTGAAAGATTGTGTGTTGAGAGCTCTGTGTTAGCCAGCGGATCTCTGCTGTGAGGATGACCTTCTGAACTTCCACGGAACGATTTGTAATTAGCGACTCCATCCTGAATTTGAGGTAACATTAATGTCAAATTATCATATGATCCAAAGCCATCTGTATAATCTTTAGGGGTGATGGGGGCTGCACTGGGCTCTCGGATTAGGTTACATGAGGCCCGTGAATCCGTTCCAATAAAATTCTCCTGAGCCGTTTCTTGGGATACAAGAATATCCGAAAATCTGGATTCACGGCCCTCCAGCCTAGAGGTCTGCTTATGTCGATCTGTTATTTCTTGCCCTTTGAATCTAGTTGGACTGTATGTACTCTTGACTCTTTTTCGGTTGTCTTTGAGGTTAAATAGCAAACCTGAAGCTTTGGATTTGTAGCTGTCACGCAGATGTTTGAAATCAGTCTGAAGTTTAGGGTCAGTTTCACCCTGAGAGGAATAATCAGAAACAGAAGGAGTGTGTGCAAACTGCAGTATCTCAGACGTCTCTGTTTCTTGTCTTGTGTGAATAACCGGTGTGAGGAGCTGAGTGATGTTGAATGGCGTCACACTGCTAGGCACCGTGCTCTCGACCACTAACTCGTGCGTAACTTTGTTGCTGCTAAACAAATTCGAATCCGGCCTGCATGTTCTCTCATTAGAAGGTGAGACTGTGGAAGGTCGGTTGCCTGGAAGTTTGTTCCTTACAAAGTTATTGTTTTTCTTCCAAGGTGGATAGTTGGAAGCCATCTCAGATTCACACCTCTTCTCAATCGCTGAGGCTTTCTGGACGACCGTGGACCTGGAACGTTGACTGACCACAACGTCCTGAATGTGTCTCTGATTGAAGAGTCGACTTTCGCACGGAGAGTTAGGAATTCTATTGTTGTCTTTCAGCTCTTTGTACATGGGAGAATCGTACCACCTTGGGAATTCACTAGGTGACATAAACCCTGACACATTCGTACTTTCAAAGGGGAACCTGTTGTACTCTTCCCATAGCTGGAAGGGACTGAATTCGCTATGGAAAAAACAGTTTGTGGAGTTCAATTCTTTGATCTTTCTTTTTGAAGAATTCATCAGGACTTTTGTGTCCATTTTTGCCACCGCAGCAGCCACGTCGGATGTGTAAAAATGGTTTCTGTAAGACTGAAAGGGGCCTGACTTAATATTGTGATGATGTCCTGAGAACTGAGAGAGTTCTCTCTGGATGGTTAGCAGAGCTGATCTGTCCCATGATTCACTGCCAAAGTCTCTATAGCTATCCCTTGCCAGATTAACGTCACATGTCCCACTCTCATGGTAACACTCCCCTGAACTAAAGGCTTTGATTAGAGACGACACTCTGGATGCGCTCCTGCTCTGCTGCCACGTCACCTCCTTGGAGCCATTGTTCATATAAGACAAGCCTCCCTCCATAAAAGCCTGTTCCTGATGGGTTACATCGGTGTAAGAATGCTGGAATGTTGAGGCCATCTTGGACTGTTCTTCTGGCTCCCCTGAATCCTGAATTCTGTATGAAAATGTCTCCTGGGAGACTATCTTTTGCTGGGTTTCCTCCACAAAAGCATCATGTCGTTCGGTCGGAGACGAGGGGAATTCCGAGTCATTGTAAATGGCCTCCTCTCCAATGCACAGGCTCCTGAAGGCACGATCGGTGAGGTTGCTCACCTCCCTGTCCGTGTCATCCATAAAGCTGCCGCTGCTGGATGTGTCACTGAAGCCATCTGAGAATTTGTGGTGGCCCTGCATGCTTCCCCGCTGGCCTGTGTGGCGCTTTTCCAGGGAGCTCATTTCACACTCTTACACTCATGGACAGGTCACAGTTGTCCCTGTCAGTCTTGGAGATGGCTGACGCAGAGTGTCTTGCATTTAAGTAGTTCACCTTCTAAAAGGTGATCAAAATACCTTCCTTTCCTGCAAGAGTAGCAGAAAGGTCATAAACTTGTAGTTCACTGCAGTTGTAGTTCAACAAAGTTCTCGCAAATCACACTGCTATTGCGGAGTTATTCAGATGTCTAGTGCACAATTGACATTTTATAAAGTATGACATCTAAACCGTTGAGCTCCACCTTACATACTGCACATTCATATCACGTGAAGTATATTTAGAGAAGGAAACTGCTTTCCATTCTTACACAGGATCACAAAAATTAACCTTCTCTGACACTTGCTTACATGCACATGGCTTTCATATGGTAGTATTGGTAGAATTATAAAGCATTTGGTTAAAGCATAACCATGGAGGTTGAGGAGATTCGCCCTTCCATTATTATTATTATCCAATATTGAATCGTTTGGCCTTTATATGTTTTAAAGTTAATTGTAAACATTTTTGATTTTCCATATTACAACAAAAGGCATACAATGTTTATTACAGTTGTGATAATTAAAAAATAAGATCTTCAAATATTTAAGCTTCTTATGCAGAGCAAGATTCAGTACAACAAATGCAATTACAATTATTTCTAGATGCTTTGTTAATTCTGGGGAATAGCTATAAATACCCCCTATTATTATGGTTACAAATTTAAACACGCAAGTAAAAAATAAATTCCCCTGATGCTTTGAAAATTGCAAGACATTTTAGCATGAATAACTTTTGAATACCCTTTGCTTTTTGTTGATCTAGTATATTGATAAAGTATAGGTCTTGTAGATTATATATATATATATATATATACACATACACATTATTAATCACTTGCTGGGATGTTTGTGTTTGTCTGAATGATTAAAAATAGAGTAATGGTTCTCAGTCTAATCTTTAGATTAAATTGTGATTTATTATGGTTTTTAACAAGCAAAATGGGGTATTTGTTTGAAGCTGATTTGCATAGTCCACACAACTCTTTTTATTCTTGTCCCTGCCAGCCTTGCCTTCACATAGCAGGAACGCTACTTTAACACAGAACTATTTCCATAGACAAATCCCCTTAATAATCAGATTAGTATTCTTAAATTGCAACTCCTACATTTTTAACATTTGGTTACATCTTTGCTTTTTACAAGTAGTATGAAAACATAATAAATAGTAGTTAGGGTTAAACTGCATGATCATCATATGTTTTATTTAAGATAAATTAATTAATTATTTAGTACACTAAAAACTCATAGGTTGGATGCTAAATCACTCAAATCAAATGTGTTTAGCATTGCAGTATCCTTTACTGTTTTAAATGCAGTGTTTTTTTGCAGTACCTATGGTACTCATGTCCACAAATAATAACACATTTAACATTATGTTGTTTATTTACATATTTCTATAAACCATATAATAAGAATAAGAAACACATTTTCAGTTTGATATTTTTATAACAGCTTGCATAATAAACTATATCCATGTAACATTCTCAAACTCAAGTGAGTTTTTTTCTTACCTTTTGCTCTTATATCTCATTTTTTAGTGTTGAAAATATTTCTTGTGCTTCAGAAAGAAGCCGTTCCTTATCCGTAGCATACTATATGTGGCAAACAGCAGCAAAAATGTTGCTAATATTCTCCACAACAACACTTTTGGTGGGTTCTCCTTAGAGTTGACAAAGAGCAGATGTAAAGGCCACTTCGTGCAAGGGCCCCGGCGGGGCTAAAGCAACGAGGGTTCAGAAGCAGAAACACGCTGAAATAGCACTGGCATCAGGCAGATACGATCAAGCTGGAAACATGGGATGAAGGCTTGAGACAGCACACGTATTGGAATAACCATGTGGTGTCAAGTGTCAAGCAGATAAAAAAAAAAAAAGCCTGTATTTCTGTTGGGCCGTGCCAGGCCTTAATAACCAAAATTATATTTCAGCACCATTGGAGTTTTTAATCCCAACATGAAATGAAATGTATCCACTTGTGGAGTTGTTGTGGTGGATAGCATGTATCTAACCAGATGAACATATGCCCACGGTCTAAAAATAGCTTGTTGCTTCACTAACAAGTGTCACCCAGTTCTTTTGGCTGAATCGTGTCTTAGACTTGTCAACAGATTATATCTGATCCCTCCTTGGGATTTTTTGCCTTTTTCAATCCTGTATTTTTATCAAAATGTTTAATTGTACCTAATATAAAACAAGTCCAGCAACTGTCAGTTATTAATGTTCAAGAACATTTTATAAACTGCACAGTCTCTGTCGTCATTTATCTTTAATAAAAGTGGACAATAAGTAGGTCACAATAGGGGTATTTTTTGAGATTGCTCCTCCCTCCTCGGTCAATTCATTTTCAAATGTCCTCCTGATGTCAAGCTGTCTCACGCCAGTCTTAACTTTGCAGCCAGGCACTGCTATAATAGGACATGGATGCAGTGAGCTCTTTCCCAGGAGTCTTGGCTGCAGCGAGGGCTTGGTGTGTAAAGGTGATGGACACTCACATATGGAGCAGCAGGGCCGCCCTCTCTCCTTTATAGAGCTCTGTTGCTAAGCTCTCGTCAGAGCTGTTCCACTCTCGCTCACCACTTCCTCACCACTCACAGCTGTAGTTTAAAGTACTGCCTTATATCCTCAGCTGAACAAGATGACATGGTATGATGAAAACAAAATGAGTCTAACAGCTGAGAACATGAGTGATATACATGAGTGATTTCAGCACTAACATTTAGACAGAGGTGGACAACACAACTACCTTACTTGAGTGAAAGTACAGATACTAATTGTCAAATATTACTCCGTTACAAGTAAAAGTTTGTAAAGACTGATTTTTACTTAAGTAAAGTACTTGAGTATCAAAAGTACAAAGTAAATGTCAATGCATTGTTATATTATTGTTGCATTATTACAGGACCTTATGCCTCTGAAGCAACCACCAATGAATACATTGACCAGTTTGTAGTTTTGTAGTGTGGAGCTTGAAGAATGTCACAAAACCTATAGAAATTAAACAACTGAATATATATAAAAAGATAGCCATAATCATCTTCATTTTTTTATAACACTCCTACCACCCCAACAAAAGAAGTACATGTACAAATTCCATTTATGCACATTTGAACCAATGGTCTGTAAATACAAAAAAAAAACTAGCTATACAACCATAACAGCAATACTGCTTTAACAAACAACACAACATAAATACTTATTTGCCATGAAAACAAAACTTTCAAAACAATACTTGTGACAACAATACGGTCTCTCACAGATCAGAGAAATCGTACTAAATCGCCAAACTTCCCAACACGTGACCCTACAGGAGTGATAACTGATTGGCTGTCTGTCAGACGCAAAAAAAACCAAAAACAATCACGTCTTAGAGAAGGAAAAAATCATGCCATGACTAACATCACTACTTTCTACTCAAGGACTTTGACAGAAATGTAGTGGAGTAAAAAGTACGATATTTGTCTTTCAAATGTAGTGAACTAGTTTCCAGAAAAATAATACTCAAGTGATACTCAAAACGTGTACTTAAGTAGCCTACAGTACTCAAGTAAATATACTTAGTTAAATGCCTAATTTTATATATATTTTTCGCATGATTTTTTGCAAATAGTCATATTTTCTTGGATTTGTTTAGACTATTAAAAAGGCATGTTTTTATACTGCAATTATATTTCACGTTTTCCTTGAAAAAAAAATCTAAACGACTACAAAACAAGATTTACATAAGAAACAAAATATATATTTTTTCAGGTTTCCAGTTTAAAATAAGACATTTTTAGGTGTAATTTCACAGAAAATGTTAGTTTGAGAAGCCCAAAACAACACACACACACACATATATATATATATATATACACACACACACACACACACACACACACACACATAATTTATTTTTATTTTTTTCAGTGTAAAAACCATACATGTTCTGCCACGTCGAGGATAGTGGGAGCAACTTTCGCTATCATGGGTAGATGAGATTTAAGGGGGCTCAGATACTGCACTCTTGTAAAAGTTCTGAGATCAGGTAGGTCCTGAACCCTATAACAGGCTGGAATGGTCTCTTCCAAGCACTGGTTATTCCCTCTGTGAATCACCCCACATGACATTTATGGGATCGTACTGCAATTACAGACATTCTGCTTGTCAAATATTTCTAAATAGTTTTAAAGGTATGTTGGTTTAATACACTCTCAGTTTATTTTTGAACAAATGCAGAGTTGTGGTCAAGATATTGAGACCACTGCTTGCACAGCTCTCTCTCTTTCGCTATATTTTGAACCAAAAACATCTACAAACAATAATGCCTACATATTATCTATTGTCAATATAAGCACATGAACGCTGTTTGTTGGAGAAGCCCAACACAGCAACATCCGCTCAACCAATGGTGTGAGTTTGGGGGCGAGGCTATCTCTTTATCCAACCAATGGCAGGCGGGGAGAGTGTTTAATCATTTTGTCATTATATGAGGTCCACATGATACAAATAAAATGAATCGATAAGGAGTTTTTGAATCTTCATTGAAATGACAGCTGAATTATACAAACTCTGTAGTGTGGCTTCTGGTATTTTCCTATCAAAGGCTTATAATTAACACCGTCAATAATCACAGCCACTGAAGTACTTAAACCATCAAATATTAGAATAACATCACTACTCCCAGGCTCATTTACAAAATCCCGTTGAGAGAAAATAATGCATAGCCCTTCTTATGGCCTCTGTAATGTTCTGGGATATTGATTGTATCAGGGATATTAGCTGGTCTGTGACTTAATCAGCCACCGCCCCCATCTGAATAAAGCTTGAGCTAAATGACTCCCTCCTGAGGGGCCTGCTCAGTCTCTTTTTATTAAAACCCCACAGTCATTTGAATGAAAATGTCAATAGATCTTCCCTTACATGCTTTTACAAGAGAAGGAACTGAATTGTGATGAATTCATGAGTGACAAAACGCTTTTATATACAGCCCTATCTATCTGATTTAATTCATATCTTATGGGATTTTTCAAAAATGCTGATCCACTGGGCCTACTACAGTATTCCAGTGGTTCGCAGCTAATAAGCCTTGTTCCAAATTCCCAAAGATCATGATTCGAGAGTTATTCCCAGAAATTTACGTCACGGTTTACTGACACTGTGAGGCTGGTGCGGAACGGCAACAGGCTATAATATGTAAATAATCTAGGACATTAAACAGTCCCATTTCCACGCTGGGTCTTTTTTAGAGTGCCACAATGTTGGTCCTCTGCATATCTAGTGGTATAATTATAAAACCAATTAACTGAGAATAATTTGCCCTAATGGCAGAGCCAATAAACAAACAAACCGAGCGAGTGATTTAATGGAAGGGTGTCTTTGTGTTGCTTTGTTGCCTTGCGAGTGGCCCAAATGAGTTTAACAAGAGCTCCCTCGAGATGCTACATATACCAGAGATATGAGAGAGCATCTCCTTTTGATTTCCCCTGATTCTCGACTCCCATTAAAAACTTTAAGAGGCATCTGTGGAGGTCGGTCGAGCACCTTACTGTACCTATAGCACTGACCATACCGGAGATGTCCTAAGTAGAGACCGGACCTGAGGCTCTTGTGTTCGCAGAGATGTTGTTGTGCCTGTTATTCCGTATCTCCCGCTGACTTGTGTATTACATTAACAAGCCACTTACTGATTGACTGAGAGCTTCTCTCCATGAGCCCTTTTAATCTACTCTGATATGAAATGCATGATTTCGCTGCAGGAGTCAGGTCTGCGGGTGGGCGATGTCTTAAACTGTAATTGAATAAGTGTAAGAATCACTCTGTCTTACATTATCTACAAGGGTAACATAAGTGATAACGGTTCACCCTTTTTTATTGGCACACTCACACAAACATGCACACACTGGTTTATAGCCTACACATTCTGAGCAATTGGGATGTAAAATATATGTATGTACACTGTAAAAATTAATATGCTTTATCGAATCAATAAAATTGTGGCAACAGATTACAAGCAATATTATTAATTAAATGTAACAAATTAGAATTGAGTAATAATTAATCAAATTATTCCTTAAAAGTTAACCATTTAAAATGAGTAAAGTTTACACCAAAAAATTTGACAAAAATATCTCACTAACTGACAGATGTCAAAGATTAATTAAGAACTCTATTTTATATTGCCAACATTGAAGACACCTGATATTAACAAGCAGAATCACTGAAGGAGAAACCCGTAATTTTAAAACAAACCTAAAACAAACACCGATCACCATAATGGTGACTTAAATTTATGTTGTTGGTTTTTTTTAGTTTAGTTTAGTCATTTTAAATGGTTAACTTTTAAGGAATTAATTTGCTTAATTATTACTCAATTCTAATTTGTTAAATTTATTTTTATATAAATGTATAAATATTTCTTGAAATCTGTTGTCACAATTTTTTTGATAGTATTTATTTTTACAGTGTATGTATATATGTGTGTATGTATATATTTATATATATATATATACACAGTATATATATATATATATATCCGTGTGAGTGGATCTGGCATCTATTGTTTTGTAGCCACATGGAGTCAGTGTAGAGTCCTGATAGCAGGAATAAATGTGGTATGTAATTATTTTACAATGAATTGAGTTTCTCTTGCATTTGTCTGGCCTGATTAACTGGTTAATTTAAAACAGTTTTGCTAAACCTGATAAATTAGCTTAAAAAAATCATTTTAACTACAGTCGCAATGTCACTTGTATTGTCTAAGGTGTCACATCATACTGATACTTCTGAAGGACATACAAGTATGAATGCTTAGATTGACTGTTTAGATTTCCAGTATGACGAAGGAACCAGATATGGTATCAGCTGTGATGACTTATTCTGTTTCACATGTTATTTATAAAATATAGATACACAATATTGCACAGGAGTAAAGCTATTCTATAGTGTTCCAATTTCACAGCCAAACCTGTGAAATACAGTTCTTGTTGTAATCAATGAGTTGGAGGCAGCCCTGAAAGATGACTGGTAGTAACAATTTAGACAATCGTTCATGCATCGAATTCCTACATGTTTTGACTGCTGAGACTATGATCATGCGTGCTTTGAAAGATGGAAAATGTCTGTAGATTAATGTAGAGACCGACTCTGATTCCAGCATATCAAAGTTTACTAATATAACTGGCATTTTCTTGCACATGCTCAGCTCCTTTGGTTGAGTTCAACATGTTTCATAAATTATCATAGACTGTGAAATTCTCAACAGGCTTTGTCTCCAGACAGCATTTAACATGCTGTATATATGCTTTACATTTTTCCTTAATCCAGTGAGAACAATGGAATGCTTTTTTTCCCAAACAATACAGAGTTAAAGACAAAAGCTGTACAAAACTTGAAGTACGGCACTGGCAGGACACGTGTTAAGCTGTAGCCATATACTCTGTTGCTATATATAAGCACATTGTGTAATTCAACTCCTCTTGGCAGCAGTTCTCAGTAGGAGAAACCACTAGCTCAGCACATTACTCTACCCAATAAACCATTATGCTTCCAACCACGAGATGGGTGGACAAGAACTGTGTGCCGAAGACAGAAAACTGCATCACAACCCCAGCCCGTGGCGGACATATTTTCAATAGTCAAGGTTTAAAGTCTGTCATCATTTACTCATCATGTCATTCCAAACCTGTGACTTTCTTTCTTCCATGGAATACAAAGTATGAATTTTGTCAGTTTGAAAATTGTTATACAACGATTTTATAGATGTTGTCCATGGTGCGTAAGATGTATGGACTATTTTTAAGATACTTTAATGATAGTTTTGCATCCTTTTTAAAAAAAAAAAAAAAGTCCCTACACTCTCAGAAAAAAAAGGTACAAAAGCTGTCACTGGGGCTGTACCTTTTCAAAAGGTACACATTTGTACCCAAAGGCTGCATATTGGTACCTTAGTGGTACACATTAGCACCTAAAATGTACATATTAACACCTAAAATGGACATATTAGCTCATGAAATGGACACATTAGCACCTAAAATGTACATATTAACACTTAAAATGTACATATTAGCACCAAAAATGGACAAAAGTTTACTTTTTGAAAAGGTGCAGGCCCAGTGACAGCTTTTGTACCTTTTTTCTGAGAGTGTATCATTTAACTGCATGGAAGAAATGAATCAGTACATTAAAATATCACCTTTGTGTTTGACAGAAGAAAGTTTGGAGAGTTTGGATCAGCATTAATAAAAAATATATTCAGCATTAATTACAATATAAAATGAATAGCAGTAAACACAATTTTTACCACTGTCTCTAATAAATAAATGTAATATTTATATAAAGGGGGTTTTGGACTCTCTGAAAATGAGTCATTGCGAGACAGTCTTCACACATTATCTAAGCTGAGTTCTTTAACCCCACTAAGACCTGGCCGCTGCTGCTATATTTTCATATGCTGTAGGTCCAGCTGAAAATTTGTGCTGCTTCCAAAGGCTATCTCAGGAAATGACATTTCCTACGTACTTTTCAGTTCAGGGGGAGTGATTTCAGGATAGAGAAAGAAAATGAGTGCGGGTGAAAAAAATAAAGACTGGGAAAGAGGGGTGTTTCTAACTGGGAACAGAGCACGCACTGTTTCAGATTGCACACACACACACACACAGTGAGAGGGAGAAAGAGAAAGAAAAGGAGAAAAAAAATCCCAGGGACTCCTTTCTTTTCTTGACGTTTAGTTGGGTTTATGGAGCCTGCGGGTCTGCAAAATGAAGCTCTCCGCTGTTGCGATAGTTCTCCTGACTAGGGCTTTTATTGGAGGTAAGGATGTGTGTTTATGTTGGCCTTTTAATATGCAGGGACGATACTTGCAAAATTGCTTTCAAGGGATACATGGTCAGTGAGCTTTTTCAGATGACTGCTTCACGTTTGTCACATATGTACAGAAACTGCAGTCTTTATCTGGATAAAACTATTTAAGCAAAACTTTTAGACCTCATTTTACTCTATATTTGTGTATTTTTCTCCAGTGCACTTTACTAAATAGTCTTTTTTTGTTGTTTATGTCCAAATCTCTCTTGTGATGTGGTTTTTGAATTGAAAACAGAGCCCCGGTTGACCCCTGAGGGACTCGAGTATTTGGGACACAACATAAACACGACTGAGGCTTTTAACAGCTGGATGCAATCTAGTTGTCGTGTTCCCTCCTCTATCCTCCAGTTCAAGAAAGCAGACAAATGTTTTTCACCTGTAGTTTCTGTTTGGCAGAGCATATTGAGCCCAGATGCATTCAAAATATTTAACACCCTTTAATGGTCATGGATTTAGGCCAGAATAGGAGATATCACCAATGAAGCTCCAAAGAAAACTGAATACATTTTTACAAAACAATGGTAAATCTAAATTAGCATCTTTTTCATCTCTTTCAAGTTTTCTGTTCATGATTAAAATCTCTTTTATTTCTCTATTCTTTACGCACATTTAAATTAGGAATGACTTTCTTGGATTTAAATCAATATCACAAAATCAAATAGACTCTTTTTAATATAATACATTAAAAGCATATAGAGAAACATGTTGTTTTTTTCCCCCCCAGAGCTGAGTGCCGCTTTAAATGTGTCCGTCACCCCTGGGCCAGTCAGCATGTGTATGGAAGGAGACAACATCACTTTGTCCTGCTTAGTGTCTCAGAAGAAGAGAAGCAGCAGTGTCCTGGTGCTTCGTTGGCTCTACTTCCCCACTCCTGAAGACGAGCACCTCGTGGTCAGGATGGGCATGAAGAAAGCCAAGTATTACGGCAACTACAGCAAGCACTTTCCCCTGACAAAATTCCTCCTTTGGGAAGAAATGGACGGACAGATCTACCGTCTGCTTATTCTGAATGTGTCCCTGAAAGATGGGGGTAACTACACCTGTAAAGTGCAGGAAATACGGAAGCACAGAAACAAGTGGAGGGCCTCGTCGAATGGAACAGGGAGCATGGAATTAAGAGGTAACGAGGATTTTTTTTTAATTAAACGATGTAAAATACATTATGTACTCAGCCATTGAGTATATGAATTCTGAAGAGTAATGTTGTCTCAAATGAAACAATTTTTTTATATACCTTTTTCATTTGTCAAATGTGCATCCTCTCATTTAGTGTGGTCATTAGCTTCAGCATGTTTGTAAAACTGAGTCCAAGCACCTAAAAAGGTTTTTTTTTTTTTACTTATTGCACATGTTAACTTATACGTATATATTGAATGATTACACTGTAAAAAATGCTAGGTTGTTTGAACCCAATTTTGGGTAAAATATGGATGGACAAACCCAGCCATTGGGTTACATTTTTAAATTACATTTTTAACCCAATGGCTGGGTTTGTCCATATTTTACCCAAAATTGGGTTCAAACAACCCAGCATTTTTTAGAGTGAAACCACATTTGCAATGTGTTTTGGTATTTGACACGTTTGCCATTTTTTTTCTAGATAACTTTATAGCTCTTGATGCATACAAAACAGAGCACTATGTACTATGAGTACAATCTGGAAGTTTGGACTCTTCAACATTCAACTCATCTGAATTATTCTTGTGAGACATTATGGGCTTCATTTATAAAATGTTGCATAGAAACCATGATCCTACATTTGATGTTACGACCATTTCTCCAATGTGCGCAAGTTTTTGGCTCAGAGAAAGAGAAGAAATCCATGCACAAAAAAGCCTTTCAAAGTTGATACCGTGCATTAACACAAATCGTTGACACATGCACACTAGAAAGTTACATTTTTGTTCAGTGTCTGTGCTATTTCTCTCCGGAAGTTATGACCGATACATATGCACCTTTTTAAACTAGATTAGCTATTTTTGTTAAGCCCCCTCATACGTGGGCATTGTTGTTGCTGTGTCTTCTGTAGTTTATTGTTGTTGTTGGACCACCTCCTCCATTCCTTTTGGACAAATGAATCAATGCATGCTTGGAAAAATTGCATTAATGTAAAAGCTTTTTATGCAAGTAAGCAATCTGGAGTATCTGCGTTTAAAACTAACCGTTCAACTCACTAGTGCCAGCGAACATTGTGGTTGAGTTGGATGTGGTGTAAGAGTGATGTCTTTCCACGGTCAGGGCTAACCACACAACAGCTGTTTCCTCCAGTTCACTAATCCTTCAGTTCATCCAGCACAGGGTCAAATCCAATTCCACAATTAGTGACAAAGTTCATTGTTAGCTATTTGTAAACCTCTTTTAAAGAGGGGATGTTCTGTCTTTTCAGAACATCTCAAAAGAGGGACTATGTCAGATTCACAGTGACATTACTCCCTGTCAACGGTTCAAAGCCCTAATCCAAATAGTGTTAGAATGGTCCATAAAACTTTCAAATAATCAAGAAAATGAGGCGTAAACGTTCCCATTTCTCACGTTGTAGCCTTTTCTTGCTATCTTCGGTGTGTTTGTAAGTCTCACTACTTGACTGCAGTTCCACCTTCCACATATACATCAGTTCCACTATAAATGTGTTTTGGGCCAACACAAACAGACAGACCATGAGGCTGTTAATGAGAGCAACCTGGACATGCTGTGGGGATCGAGCGAGGAGGCTTGGCAAGGATGCCACTGAAAACATTTACTCTGGCTGCATTATGCGTTTTCCTGTGGTGTTCGGACAGCGAGAGGTCCCCAATACTTCAGCGTCCACTGGATTAATCATCTGCCTGATAAACGGGAATTGCCTGATTCTAGCAACAGTAAAGAGAACAAAGAAGTATTTGTTTGCACTTAAAGGGACAGTTCACTCAAAAATAAACATTTTGTCATTATTGACTTATTAAATGCCATATGACTTTCTTTCTTCCATAGAACACAAAAGATGTTCTGAAGAATGTACTGTACTAGAGCTTTTAAACTATAAAAAACATGCAAAAAACACCATAAAATATCATTCATTAATATTTTATAAAGTATTCCATAATACTTTTGTGTTTTGCTGTAAATAAATCTTATGAAATCACTTTGTGTGATCAATAGATTAAAATATAAGTTTTTCCACTGATAATCTTCACTGTCAAACAGTTTTTGTCACGATTTGGATCAACTGAGTCATTTGAAAAGATCCAACTCAAAATAATGATGCGTTCATCTCTCTCATGAACGTGCCAGTGAGAACTAGAACAGATGTAAATATTTTCAGTGCGTAATAAATTACATTTCAATCCGTTCCTCACACAAAGCTGTTATTGGTTTTAGAAGACTAGGAATATGGCGCACAAGTCATATTTCTTTTTTTATGTTCCACTGAAGAAAGAAAGTCATATGGGTTTGGATGAGGGCGAGTAAATGATGACAGTTTTCATTTTTGGATGAACCATTTCTTTAAAGGAGCTTTGTACCATTCAAAAATGAAGTTATTTATTATGCTTCATTATTGGGTATGAATAACCATGGCATTTTAGGTTTCTTTATAACTGAAGCTAAATTCTAAAAGTAAAAAGTCTGTGAAATTTCTGTATATTTAAGCAGTTTAGTTTGAGAAGAGAAAAACAGTGGTTTATTTTTTTAAACCACCACATAAAGTCCACATATAGCTGATGATTTATTTGAAGAAAAACACCAGCATATCATACTGATATAAAGATGTGGGTTTGAGGGATATAAGCAACAGAATATGACTGTAGGGTTTAGACAACCACAGATACCCCACTTTGCCAGACTCTAAGACCAATACAAGAAGAAAAAAAAACAAACAAGCAAAATAGAGGTCGTAGGTTGAATTAAACTGGGGAATTTGTTATGTACAACAAAACAATGTCAACTAGCTGACATCCCCCATAAACATAGACCAAAGCAGGACCACAGAGCGGGGTTAACCACTTCACCCTTCACTACAGCCACAGGGTCGGCCAGCAAATGACTTCATGCTTTTCCAAAACAAAAGCGGCACTCAAACATGCTCACCCGTTTGACTTCGGATGTAGTGTGCACTTTGTTCTCGAGTGTTATTGCACAGTGTTTCTGCAGATCTGAAAATGAGCTGAAGCCTTCAGTTTAGCAGGGGTTTTATAGAATGGTTTTGACTTGAAAGAAAATGCAGATCAGATGTGTAACTGTATATCTGCTGTAGACAGAGTGTCCATTTTGTTTGTTTTTTGAAAGGATTTCTCTAGAGCTCTGCTCTTGTGCTGTTCACTGCTCTAGTAATTTAGAGAATGTAAAAGTGTGTAATTAAAAAATACTTTCTCCTTGCTTAATATGCAGAGAGATTAATTTGTAAATTGATTTACCCTTCCAATCCATTTCTTTAGCATCTCAACCCTCTGGTCTTAAGTGACCCGGGAAGTCATTAACTACCCTCATCCTCATACATTTTTTTTTAAGTTAGACATAAACCTTCTAGGTATTCCTCAATCAATTCATTATAAAATGTTTAACTAGAAAAAAAACAACATACAATTATAAAATAATTGTTTTACCATTATTTATTTTTTTGTAAAAATTGTATAGGGTCACTAATGACCTGATGTGTGTAACAGTGTAAGTATATTTTTTTCTGCACAAGAATAATTTAATCTTTGATGACTGAATAAGTGCAATTCACCAATTTTCCACAAGTGATGTTTCACTCATTGTTACCGCAGGCATAAAACAAAATAATAGGAAGTATCAGCAAAACTTGAAATGGCTCAGCGATTTACTGCAGAGCAAGTACTAAACGCAATCAAATATTAGTATCACTATCACTTGATGGTGGATCTGGTGAAGACCCGGTCAGTGATCAAAATTTTGATTTTGAAGATTTTGAAAAATTATTGCTTTTAGAAAATGTTTTAGGTTTTGAATATGAGCCAGATGCTGGAAAATGAGCTCTGACGAGGACAGTGATGATGGTATAAAACATCTGCTCAAACTGAACCATTCCAAGCTCCAAAATGAAACAAATTATGCTTTATTTTATTCTCCTGTAATTGTTACGCTAATATCAGGAGAGTTTTATATTATTGAGAAGGTAGAGATCCATCTGTGTTAGATATCCGGGTCGCTAAAGACCCGAATATGTAATAATGATTGGCGAAACATTCATGCATTTAGGACTAACATGCCCAACACAACAGCATTGACCCATACAATGGTATTGGTTTGGCGGCAGAACTATGTTTCTAGCTGACCATTGGCAGATGGAAGGGGTGTACAGGATATTTCAAGTTTTTGTCATGCTAATGGAACACAAATAAGAAGGTTCTCTTGCTTACACTTTTTATTGCGTTTCATCATTCAATCATCTACATTTTATTGAGCTCATTTGAAGTTTTAACTATCTTACAATTATCTTTGAAAGTAATTCTCTCCAACAGTGCCCTCAAAATCTGCAAGCAATTTCCCCTGACCTGTTTTTAAAAAATGCCACGCAGCAAGCATTGAATGAAGGAAACTTAAAGAACAAATGAGAGAAAGAGTATGATTTTCCATGTATCCTCTAAAAACTTAGTTTCCCAGGTAAACTAATATTAACAGTAATTAATAGTAGACTAAGTTATTTAAACATTGATGTAATGCATGGTGAATGTATTAATAGCTGTATATAAGCTTTCTGTGATAGATTTATTAAAGGCACATTTCTCAGGGTCAAAGGTTAAGTATTTTTAAAGGCCGCTAATGCAACTTCACTTCAAACTAAATGTCCTTGCCAGGTCATATTGAAGGCTCATCAAGCACAACCCTGCAAAAAATCTCCACAGTATACAAGATGTTGGAGAGAATGATGACCGGGTTAAGACTTGACCCAAATTTTAAACAATATGATAATTTCCCCCTGGACTTAGATTGTAAAATTGCAATACAAATGTTTAGTGCAATAAAATCCACAACCACCCAAACAAGTTTGCAATTGAAAATAAATAAATAAATAAATAAATCCTGACCTAACCCCAAAGGTCAATAAAACTGATTCCAGTGCTCATAAGACTTTGAAAACACGGACTGTGATGATGGTGGGTTATTATCAACATCGCAAATCTAAAGTGTTTAATATTTACATTTTTAAATATATATTTTGTGTTATATTACAATGGCAGTAGATTGTAAAAAGCAAAATAAGGCTGCTGCTGTTTCTAATACAACAGCTGAGGAAGTGACGACAAATTTGACATATTTCACTCTTCTGACTGCTGTAATCAATCTCTCTATACTTTTCCCTTTTTTGGAAAGTTGTGGGAATGCTATTGCAGATTTTTTTTTTCTTTTGCTATTCGAGCAAATGCAAATTCAAAATTAAATTTGCCATTCACCGCTATAGAAATTTACCCGACTATGACAAATTCTGCTTCTGAGAACCCCGGAAATGTGAAAAGGGTCCATTGTATCTGTTAAATTTCCTCCTTCTTTTAGCGTACTCTCTTGTGTAGGTACTTATTTTGAAAAAGTAATCCCTCCACGGCCACTAAAAAGTACATTCTACTGTATGTAGAGTGGTTTGATTACTAGTACAGTACTTATATGAGTATATAGAGTAATATATGAGTACTTTGAATTCGGACATTTGTCACATACTGTTTTTGGCCTACTAAAGTATGCGATTTTGGATGCAGCCTACAGTACATCTCCGCAGCGCTTTAGCGTATTGAGACAAATCTTGGTACATATAATCACGAGCATGACCAGAGGCAACATGCTGCATTTTGGCACAGCTACAGTTTAGGAGACATGAAAAATAGCTTTACTTGCTTATAATGGAACGGTTTGCCCTAAAATCACCATAAACTCTTTCAATTCAGTGTTTATTTTAATGAAACTGGACTTTATAGATTCCTAGAGTAAAACCAAGAACAATACTACTTTTTCGAACACATCAACAAATTTGATGGCATGGTACCAAGCTTATTTTTAAGCTATAAATCTGCAAAGCTTTGGCATAATGACCTTAAACTTCATATGTGTCAGTCTCATTGTCTCCTCACACTGACCACACAACATCAATTTGGTAACAGTGCCACCTATGTAAAATCAAAGTGATGATTGTATTTGGGATTTCGACAAATATTTTCTAAAAATGTCTTTAATTATTAATTGTTGCCATTAATCTGATACTCCCCAGACATGCTTGCATAACTCGTCATCATGCCTTTCTTTGTGTGTGTGTGGTTGGCCCTTTAATTGCATGCAATTATTTCTCTCTCTCTCTTAATGTTTTCAGTACATCATATACCAAGCCCAGGAAAAGCTGATGTCATATGGAGCATGTTTGAAGGTATGCTGTTTCTTCAGTATTGTTATAAAAGAGAGCATGTTTATTGCAGTTTGGTGTATGGTCTCGGTCACTGATAAAGACACACATTTTGTGTGCTGGCTTGGATCACAGCTTAGTGTTAAACAGCTTTTGGCTAGTGTGTTACATCTCCTCCCTTCTGGTGGAGAAAGACCAAACCAAATTCAAACAAGTCACAGTGATCACAGTGTTTGGTTAATTTTTGTGGTCAGCTGTGCCTAAGCTTTTATTGTAATAAAGATTCTTCCTTGGTTTATGACACTTTACAACATTTCCACTGCATTATTACAAATCCCACTATATTTTAAACACAAAATTACATTATTTGGAGTGTAATTTATTGTTTTAATAACATTTGTTAAAAGTAAAACTGTAATACTGATGAACGATTGTTATCATTAGTATTTTGCAGGGTATGTGCTCTTTGTAATAAAGTGTTTCCAGCACATTATTTTGCCATGATCTTTTTCAGATTTGTATCTGTGCGCTGTGCTCATCTGCTCTATCGGTCTGGTCTGCATGCTTGTCTTTGCCATGACTATCACATGTCAGCACCTACAGCACAAACGAAGACTACGAGGTGATGAGCTTTTTACACTAAAGTCCAAGTTATTTAACCGATACTTCAACAATACAATGTCATCACTCATCAGTGCAAAAAATCGTTTCAAATGTGTATTTATTTAATTATTTATTCATTTCTCATGTTTTTTATGCTTTTTCTGTCTCCATCTAGCCAATTATTACCTTGTGAAGTGCCCAGAAAACAGGTAGACCTGGTTGACCACTGTTTTACTATTATGTATGTACTGTATGGTTCATTATTCTTTGATTCTAAGTCTAACATTGTTCCGTTTTAAATGTCCAGCTCAGGGGAGACAGTAACCAGTGTGTCCAGCTCCTCTCCTGCAATGCACAGAAAAGAGAAACGACACAAACCTCAGCTCAGAGACTTCACAGAACCACTACCACCACCACAGATACCAGCTAAAGGTACTTTGAAACACCATGTACTCCCTGGGTACATATTGTGATGTCAAAATTATTGGGTAACACTGTACAATAAATGTATCAACCTTCAAATGGTCTTCGTTTCCTGTTTACACTTCTGGGCTTCGGGGTCTATGTGACCCCAACAATTGATTGAGCAGTTGTACAAAAAATATACATTTTTAATCATACAAATTTTTGGTTTACTTCTCATCTATTCATTAATGCTGTGTTTTGGAAATATAAAGTATATACTTTTGTATCCATATACCACACAATTCCTCAACTACACCATTAGCTTGCATTTGAAATATAATTTTTGATGATACATTGCATTTACGCTGTAGTACTGTAAACATTTTCAGATTTATGCCGGATTTTTTTTTTTTTTTTTTGACACGTAGAAAATATATTTTACACATTTCCCATTCATTTCAATGTGGAAAAAAAGACCAGAAGTGTAAACATTTTTTTTACATACCTTCAGAACAACCGAATCAGCAGTTTTTTTTGTGTGTGTATAGATATATAATGTATAAAAAGTCACAAAATCACTGAGATGAAGGGAACCTTTTTTTTATTAAGTAAATTTTGATTGGGGTTGTATAGACCTCATGACTCGATTGAGGGTTAACATTAGTTAATGCATTAGGTATCATGAACCAATAATGAATTTTTTAATTCCGTTTAATAACATAGGTTCATATTAAATTATAAATTGCCTTTATGAATTTGGCAGACGCTTTTGTCCATTGTAATTCACATTCATTCAGTATACATTAATTACTGTTAATGTAACACTTAGTGAATGTAGAAATGAACATTAACCAAGGTTAATAAATGCTTTAAATAATTTTTTGCTATCTATTCCATTGACTAATGTTACACTATAGATATTGTAAAATATTTCCAAATGTTGAACCCTCGCAAATATATTTCATATTATGCTTTCTTTGGTTTGTTTTTTAGCACCTGCACCAAGAAAACCACGTAGAAGCAAACTTTTAAAGCCACAACCTACAAAAACGGTATGAATGCCGACAAACATTATTTGCTTTCAAGCTAAAATGTTAAAAAGATTAAGTGATGCTGATATGGTTTCATAAGTGTCCTAAATATATATCTTGCTAAATTACTTTTATAATTTTTTTTATAATTAATTTTGTATGTGTAATCTTTTTATTCACAATTTTAAATTTGCATCTAACAACGCACTTTCTTTAGCCTCTCAATTGAATTTTCACTGACTAGAAACATGCAAGAGGGAAATAACGTAGCTTTCTCATAGAGCTCTATGTTCGCCACAGTTATTGCTATACCTACCTCCATTTATGGGTGTTATAATTTTATTTACTATTATTGCTTTCCAAAGCGTGATTATTTATTTAACATGCTTGATTCTTATTAGATTACTTTCCAGGGAAATAATCACAGAAATGCAGAAAAGCAGCAAAAAAAAAAAAAAGAAAGAAAGAAAAGATCCAGCATTGTGTTGTGAAATCCATTATAGATCAGACTTGTTTAAATGAGTGTAATTGACATCGGAGGTCTATGCTTCTGCTCTTTCCACTTGTGTTGTTTGCATTCCCTTTTTAGAAGCACTTGCTTTGACCATCTGAAATATCTGCTTGTCAGATGAAGTGCTTGTTCCTCTTTGAGACTCATGGTTACATCCGTCTATACGAACAATCCTAAAATGATACCTATAATTTCACGATGTTCTGTCTGACCCCACATTCCTCAGTGGATACTTAACGCCCCTTTTAGACCTCTGACCACATACTGTAGCGTTCATATATGTGAAACGCCCTGTTCTCTTCTCGCCCTCAAGCCAAGGGTGGTAGAGGACAGTCTGACATACGCAGAGCTGGAGCTGGTGAAACCGAAGCCTGAGCTGAAAACAGACTCCACTGGATGTGCACAACTTGAGCCCAAAACACACTGCACGGGGACTGTTTACGCCCAAATACTTTTTGTGGAGAAGCAAGTGTAAATATGTATATTAAGAGTTTCATACCAAAATTATTTATGAGATTGTATAAAATATTTTTTACCTACATACTGATGTTCTGGTATTTCACATGTACTATACTAGTATAACTCTGTAATACAACAGCAGGATTTTCTTTTGATATATTTGGGCACATTTGTGTACCTCTAGATTTAAGACTTTGCTTTCTGTAGCACAAAGAAAGAACTACATTATGAATTTAACTCCAAACATGCATAATTTGATTATGCAATTTTGTAAAATATGTAACAATTTTATTTTTTTGCTATGTTGAAATAAAGATTTGTCCTCTAAAAGCAGAGGATGATACAGTATGAGAGCACAATTTATTGTCTCATTTATGTCCGCTTAAACAGGCAGTCATAAAAAGCATTTCAAAGACTATTTAACCCTCTGATGTAACCACAATAACATTTATACCCTTCTTTGTTTAACTTTCCATAACTGAAAATACGCATCAGCTGTAGTGTGTTTGATCATTTCAATTCAGCTTGAGTGTGACTATTTATAAAAAAAAAGTTCTTACAATATTTTAATGCACATTATTTGTGAACATTATTTGTTATTAATAATAGATATTTTTATATTTATAAAAATGTTTAATTATATGTAAATTCTATATATTTTAATTGCATCTGACATAAAAGTTAGTGCTTATATAAAAGGCTATGTGTGTGTGTGTGTGTGTGTGTGTGTGTGTGTATAAATATTTATATGCACATGTGTATGCTATGCATGCATGCAAGTGTATATATATATATATATATATATATATACACACACACATATATAATACATATTTACAAATAGCCTATTATATAAACACAAACTTTTGTTATATGCGATTAATGGATTTGACTGTACTAAAAATAAATAAATGTATATTACAAATATAAACAAATTTTAAATTAGAAACAGAGCAATAGGGACTATATTTAGCATTTGCTATATAATGTGCATATATAAAACATTTTTAATAAAATCTGTAATATTTTGTAATTCAGTATTGCTCATAATTTATTATGTTTTATAACAGCTAAAAGCTCTATCTACATAATTAGGTTTGGACAAGTTATTATTATAAGCATGAAGCCACACATCCTGTCCTCCTCTCCTGTCGTCCGTTCTTGAGTTTAGTCTGTCTCTCTCTTTCTCCATTTCTCCCACACACAGTTAAGAACCAGTGACTGTGATGAACCCTTTAATGGTTACATTTATTAAAATCATACTAATTGTAATCATGCTTAATAATTAGCTTTACAGTGCATTATAATTGGGTTAGGCTACAAGATGGTTCTGCCTAGGTGCTATAATTTATTTGATTTAATTATTCAGAAGAGCCCAAATGGTTTGACATTTAATATCATAAAATCAGCGACGTATTAAAATTGAGATGGCTATTGTCTTTTCAGAAGGTCATTTGCTTCTCTTCGTGAGATATACGGTGATTATTTTCCAGTCTATTAAGCGCCTCTACTTAGCACAATTAGCCGCGTGCACAAAGGTTAAAGAGAGCGACTCTCCCCCTTCCTCTTCCTCGTGGTCACAGCGCATATTAATGATGATGCAGCGTGAGAGAAGAAGGGTGGCAGAGAGGGAGTGACAGAGCGAGATGCAGTTTCTCCTGCGCCCTCAGCTCTGGGTCTATCTGAAACATTAGCGTCAGACGTAAACACAGATCTATACTCTTCAAAGTCGGTCTGTGTCGTCGTCTCATCAAAACTTACTTGGACTTTCTGCTGCCCCGTTTTGTTTTTGCTCTGCAGGAGTGCCCGAGCATTCTGACCGGGTCTTCTCACAGAGAGAGAGAGGAGAGAGAGAGAGAGAGCGAGAGAGACTTTACAAAACCCTTTAATTTACAGTTAAAAAATAGATTAACATTAATCGACAATTAAACACACACAAAAAACAAAACAAAAACAAAATTAAAAGAATAGAAAATAAATTAATTAAATTTTACAACATCTTTTCTAAACTCCCATCATTTATCTTGCAATAAATTCCATTTAAACACCAAACTTCCTCAAAAGTTACCAATTTTCCAACAAGTTTGTAGTAGGCAAATTCAACCATTAAACGAGCAGAAATCAGACCTTTACATGTTAAAACAGTATTGATGGAACCTTTTCCTTCAATCTTAGCTTTTCTTGTCAGCCATATACTTAGTTTCGCTTGTCCATACAAATTATTCAAAAAAACATCAACATCCCTTGATTTGTACCAATACTTAGGACCATAAATAAAACCTTGTTGACTAAAATATGACCCAACATATCATACCACTCTTTTGTCATCTGGAAAAGTGGCTCTAATCTGTTAAACAAAAAGGGCAAGTAACAGTTTCACTGGAATTCAAGTGAGCTTTGTGCCTAGGTTAATATTCCATGTATAATCCTCCACTCCAATCGCCACTTCTTTTATCAGTGGGAATCTTATACAACGTTCTCCAGCTACGTTTGGGTGGGTGAACACGCATCACTTTCACACAGACATGATACATGGATTTCTTGCCCACTTCACGAAAGAATTTCAGTTCTGGAGTACAAAAAGTGAGCAGTTTTCCCTCCTCTTCCTGCCACAAAACACCAACTTTTACTTCCAGTTCTGGAAAGTCTTTAACAGTGTCATCATCATTTTGTTCAGATAACTCTTGATCCAGAGCACATTTAAAATCAGAAGGTACAGCAGCCACAATTTCAGTTAAAAGTCTCTCAGAAAAACGCAAGGACTTCACACCAATCTTTTTCATAATACTTTCTGGTGCTATCCACACATCCCTTTACAGAAAACATGACTGCTTAGTGAGACCTGCTCTTACAAGAGACCTGCTCTTTCTCATGGAAACAGTATTTAAACTTTTTACAGACAGCACAGGGTTATAAATGATAGGTTCTTCTTTACCCCAAAAACCAATGACAGACCCCCTCTAAGCATCGTCTTCTAAAACGGCATTAAACCAGTCAAGTCCACTCCATCAAGGTCCATTAGAAAGAGATGTCGATCAAGTCCCAAATGTCCTCCTTTTCTCAACAATCCACATCTGTCCAGCTGACGTGCCTGTTATACAGCAGTCTTTGAGCGGCCTGTAGTCTAAAAGCAGCAACTCTGCATTCAATGTCTAAGTCCTTGTCCTCCTTCACAGGTCGGTAGATACAGGACAGCTGCTCTCAGCCAGTGCCAGTGCCAGTATGAATCCACTTTTTGTTGTTTTGACAATATACAATCTATTGTGATCATTTTATGATCTGAGATGATATTAGTATGTTATGATATTAGTGATATGGACAGTCAGATAGGTTATATCAGAGCAACAATCATCATCCTTATATCCATCATCATCATCCTGACTCACCGCATCATCTTGAACCGTAGACACCTCCTTAAGGCTATTTCACTAACGTTACTACAACCAGGCTGCTCTTCTGGCAAAACCTCAGCAAATTTACAAGAATTTGCACTCACCTCATCTCCTGTATCCACGACTCGGCCTTCTGAAACTTTCCCTGGTTCCTGATTTTGATCAGCTTTGCTCTCCATCACTCTCAATTGTAGGTTCATTTTCCGCATCCCGAGTCTCCTCTGGTCTATTTTTTGTGGGCACGAGAATCTTTTATGGCCGAGGTCACCACACTCAAAACATCGTATAAGCTTTCAGTGCTCGCATAACACATCATTTTTAATAAACGGCGGGACATTTGAAAAGATCACTTTTGTTGCCGCCACAAACATCCCCTTCACCCAAAGTCCATTCTCAATTATTTGATTAACAAGCTGTTCAGTCTTCAAAAAAACACAACAGCTTTGTTCATACGCGAAGCTGAATTTATATTTTCGTGACCAACCTGATCACCGACTACAATCAGTACGTCCTCAATCGAAGCGGTCTGCTCCGGTACACACCTAAACCCATTCCGGAGGGAAACCGCACTGGTTGCAAAACCCCTAAACTATCTCAACCCCCCAAAAGAATAAAGAAAGATGAAACACCCTCCCATAATATTTCAAAGACAAAAAAATAAAAATAAAAAAATAAAATAAAAATAAATAAATAAAAAAAAAAAAATAGAACAATAAATCAATTTGAAAAAGGCAACACCACACGTGTCTCTCACACGCGCACTCACTCAACATCCACTCAGAGAGAGAGAGAGAGAGAGAGAGAGAGAGAGAGAGAGAGAGAGAGAGAGAGAGAGAGAGAGAGAGAGAGAGAGAGAGAGAGACCTCATCTGTGCTGTTTTGTATGAATATGTGCAGATGTTGCAAGCACAAAACCCAGAACAAAGCAAGAATTTCAATTGTTCTCAAGGGAGAGAAATCCACAAACAAAGTTTACCACAGAGATGCTTACATATTAGGCCATCAAAAGCTGGGCAAATTCATCTGCTCTCAATTCTGTTGTGTTGTTGAACAACACCCTTCCTTGACTAAATAAGGCACCAAAAAAAGAAAGAAAATAAAAAACAAACGCATTTTTTCAACACTCTGAGCTGCCACTTCAGCAAAAAGCAAGAGTCTGTGATTATTTACTCACGCTACTCACTCAATGTCATTCCAAACCCATGTTGTTACTTTCGCTGAGAATTAAACTTCATTTTTCGCTGGAAATCTGAAGGATTTTACAACGCTCTTTTCCTCACAGTGACATAGGGAAGATACAGTAAGTAACAATTTTACTCAAGTTATTTTATACATATAAAAACAGCATAATCCTGACCGGTCTTGTATGGGTAGGCCGTCACAGACTAAATGACGCGTAAATCCTGCAAATTTCATTTTATTTTAAATTATTTATAACACTAATTTGTATTATATAAAATTTGCATCAAATTACTAAAACCAGTAATTTGTGGGGGTGTTTGTTTAGTGGCTGTGAGATAGGCCTATTTCTCTCTTCTGACTGCCATTATCAATATCTGTATTTGGGATAGTTCACTTTGAAATTAATTTTTGATATGTTTTAGCTTACCTCAAGGGCATCCGAGACGTAGGTGTCTTTGTTTCCACATTATTTTCAATTTTGATATTTTTACAAAATTTGTTTTGATACAACAAATCGTTGTTGTCTATCCATCATATAATGAAGGTTTAGGGGGTCATCCCCTCGGTTCACCTCAAAGAGCATGCACAGAGAAGTCCAAATTAAACATGATTGAATGACTCGTGAATGTAAGTACACATTGACAGCCGAAGACTCGAAACGAGCGGTTTGTGTGAGAAAACGAACAGTATTTATATCGTTTTTACCTCATGTAACCACACCATGTCCAACTGATCTGACAGCACGGGCGCTTCAGTCTGCGCATGCACCGGAAGTGATCG